GTGACAGATGGTATCTGAGGCTCTTATCAGCATGTGGTGCTTTATACACTGGTGATTTGTCCTCCATGACAGACAGACCTGGGGACTTTGGATGCCTGGTTGCTTCCTGAGGGCTGTGATTGGCACATAGGGTGGCTGCAAGATGTGTAAGCTTTGTGGTGGCACACATTGAGTGGGTCTTACCTTCAGGATCTTCTGTCAGGTCCTCTCCCTTTCAGAGCATTTGCTGGACAGCTGTGCTTTATACACTGGTGATTTGTCCTCCATGACAGACAGACCTGGGGACTTTGGATGCCTGGTTGCTTCCTGAGGGCTGTGATTGGCACATAGGGTGGCTGCAAGATGTGTAAGCTTTGTGGTGGCACACATTGAGTGGGTCTTACCTTCAGGATCTTCTGTCAGGTCCTCTCCCTTTCAGAGCATTTGCTGGACAGCTGTGCTGCAGCGCTTCCTCTGCTTGATGCTACCTGGTGCCTCCTGAGCCAGAGACACCTGGGCCACATTGGCATCCTGCCATCCTTCGCTCACCACACCAGTGCCGGCATGTTCTGACCTCCGAGCTCGAGCCAGCAGGCTTCTCTTCTCTCACAGCTCACGTAGCCAGGAAAGCACCCATCGTACTATTTTATGAACAGCCAACCACAATTAGTATCACTGCAATAAAGAAGTGTTACAGCTGGTCAGGTACTAAGGGTAAGTGGGCAGCAAGACAATTCCCCATACTGCATGCTGATTATCAACACCAATTAAATAGCCCATCACTGAGCTTACAGCTCTCTCTCCCCCCCTCCACTCTGTCAACGCAGGGGCTGACAAGTGAGGCTTTTTGCCATCCACGTGAGATGCCAAGGCCTTGGTTCAGTTGCCAGCCTGAAGTTCCCAAGTGCTCTGGCTGTACCTGTGCTCAAACAGGAGTGCAGGCTGGAGCCCTGCTGCTGGCCTCATCGTGGCCATCTCCTGCTCCATCCCTGCCTCAGGCACCAAACCCATTCCAAGGGGCCATTTGGGTGCAGCAGTCTCCATCTGAGGAAGGTTGGGGAGACTTCCTCCAGCCTAGAGAAAGCCTACACTACGTGCCAAGCTCCTTGGTGTGACCACCTTCCCACTCAGAGCTGTGCAAGCAGGACCCAACTCAGCACTCAGCTGGAGGACCCTGCGCCTCCAGCTGCATGGAGTGGCCTAATACCAGATATCGCATCTGACCAAATAAATGGTGACAGAAAAGTGCTGAATGCTGAGGTGCTAGACCTCACTGGAAAGTATTGTCACCATTTATTTGGTCAGAAAATTGACGTTCAAGACCAAACTGACACAAAATCTTCTCCTACGCAGGCGGAGGAGGTGCTATAGAAACCCTTAAGTACTGGTGAGCTGTTGGTGCTGGGCACCTGCCCTGCGCATGCAGCCCGTGCCTGTCCTCCAGCCCCACTGGCTGGCCCCGCTCCTCCTGGCTGCCCAGCTCCCACATACCCTGCCTCCGGAAGGACCCGCTGCTGATTTTGTGGCATTAAACCTACAGGTAACATCACTTTGTTTCATTCTCTCTTGCTCTCTCTGAACTGCTGTTCAGGGTGCTGCTGTGGCTGGGAGGAAGTGGAGGAGGCTTAAACACCTGGTTTCTGCAGGGCAGTGCAGTCCTTCAGTGCAGAGGTCCACGCAGCAGGTTGTGATCTCTGAGCCTTTTGTTTTCTGCTCTTACTCCACGGTATTCTCTGGGTATTTGACCTGGAAGATCACAGCATATTACTTCCTAACAGCAACTGGGAACTGGAAGCTAAATTCATCCCTACATGGGAAATGAGTGATTCCAAAAGTTTTCTTTTTTGTTTAAATGAACCCTTGCATCCCCTTCCAGGGTCTTTCAAAGCAGTTCTGTGGTTAGGGAGACAAAATTACTGTTTTCAAGGGGTGCAGTGACAGAAGAGCCTGAAAGAAGAAAAGTTTCAAAAAAGAAAAGTGCTGTGCCTCGGATCACTGTGTTTGAGAGCTGTGAACAACAGCAAGGTCAGAGCAGGCAGTTTCCAGACTTCTTTGTGCCATTTGGAAACAGAGAGGAAAAGCCCCTCACTTAAGTGCTGTGGCAGGGCCCTCACCTAGGGCTTTTCTGCCATGGAGGCTGTCTGTCTGCTCACTCTTTCTGTCTGTGCTTCCCTCCCAGGTCAGCTCACTGCCTGAAGCCTGGCCAGCAGTGCCTGTGGTTAGATTAACACCCCTGTGAAGTACTGCCCTGTCCAAGTCTATTCTCATACCTGTGCAGCATATTTATTAACCCTTTGCTGACAGCTACCCATTCGATTTATAGGAATGTTGGTGAAAATCAGGGCAGTTGTCGTGGAGATGGCAGGTTTGAAGGCGGCTGATGCAGAAGATGCTGTGCTGTAACCCATACTTCCCACTTCATCTTCCGTCTTCCTTTCCCTCTGTTCAGTTCCAGGTCTCTTCCCTCACCCACCACAGTTCCCATGCTGTCCTTAGTCATTTCACCCACCACATTCGCCCTTCACCCCTCTAGTACCTCCACACTTCTGAGCTTCCCCCACAAGGAGGGAGGTTTTACTAGCAAGCCCCCCCCTCCAGTGCAGCTGCTTCCCACTGGGGAAAACACTGGGTGTTTGCCAACATGGTGCTACTGTGACACCCACTGTGCTTTCAGCCTCTGCCTTGCTTCTGCTCCTCCAGGCTCTCTGTTAAGGGAATAGGATGAAGCCTGCTACTTCTTGAGCTGTTGGAGGAAATTAGTCCAGCCCTGGCCTTCCTCCCCAGCTGGTCACCAGCTTCCATGGTGGGGACAGCTGCTGACCAGCTCTCCTGTCTATGGTGGGCAGAAGTAGGACACACTCCACAATACTGGTAACCTTGTCTGTTGAGCCCCAGCCTGTTCCTGGTCTTCCAGCAGCAGCAAGACACTGTTTTACAGCCATCTCCATCCTTTTCTCACAGCTGTAGGTTGCTGCCTAGCCCCTCTGATGCTGCAGCCATCTCATGTACCCCACTTTAAGCATTTCCAGCAGTCACAGGATATTCTAGCTCATCAAACTACATCTCTTTAAAGCTATCTTGTGCTCAGCCATATGCTATCTGTGCTGTGTGGCCTGCTTTAAAAACCTCTGCTTATTTCCTCCCTCCTCCTCCCTAGTCTCTGGGCTGCCCGGTCGCCTGGAGCACTTGCGAGCCTGGGCACTGAGAACTGTATTTGGGCCACACCTCCAGCTCCAAAGGTGGTGTTGGCCAGAGCATTTTCATGCTGCAGAGCACACCACTGTGGTTTGCCTACGTTCTGCTTCAGCGTGGAGGCTGCTGCTGGTGCTGCAGACCAGGGCCAATGCAAAGCAACCTGGGCATCAGCCATGCCAGCATAGACATCTGCCTCATGCAGTTAGTGAGCATAACAATGTGGCATCTTCAGCCCCAGATGTAAGGTGTTTCCCTGCTGCTACTTACTGTAGTTCAGAGAAGTTTTCCCTGGGTGACAGCTGTCAGTTCCTCCCAGGGTGCAGGCAGCGGGCAGCAAGCCTCTGTTGGGAAACCCAGACCTGAGCACATAAGATATAGGAGAGAGCTCTACACAGGAGTCACATTAGTGTCTGCTCGTGCCCAAGACACTTACATATCCCGCCAGCAAGTCAGTTACTTGTGTGTTTTTCAGGTATTTCAGAACTGAAGTCTGATTTTGCAGGCAGTGCCCTCACCAACTGACCACAAGGTCTGCATTGCTCGCAGAGGCAAGAAACTGCTTAACTAGGCATGTTCAATCATGGTGTCCCCTCCTACATCTCTGAAAACTGTAGGATTTCACCAGATTCCTTATCACATCACTCTCCTGTTAAGAGTGGTAAAAAACTTATTTTAAATTAAAAGGTTAAATTCTTTCCAAAGTGCATTTAGATGCAAGCAGAAATTCAGTGACATATATACAGAATCACCAGTTCAGAGAATTGTTCCATGTGCACGTCACAGAGAGCCACTTTCCACAGGATGGGGTCTGATGAAAGCTGATTTTTATCAGCCCATGAACTCACATTCTTCACACAATCAATATGCTTGTGAAACATCTAGTAGCCAGTGTGACAGAGGCTCAGTACCTACTACTTACATCTCACTGATTTCCCAGGGTGGCAGGATGCCTGCCTTGAGCAGGGAGCATCCAATGCAGTCCTTAAAGGCAAGTTCCTTGTTTTGCAGTGGTGTTTCCTCTTTCAGGTATGCCTTTCTGCTTTATATCTGCAGACTTGTACTCTCTCCTGGAACAAATGGGCTTAAAATCAGGTTAATCCTTCCACTCCCCATTTCCCTCCCAAGGAGGCAGAGAGCACCATGCCTCACTCACTCCCTTAGGTTTTCAAGCATGCCTTTGGGATGCAGGAACTCAGATTCAGCTTTGTTTTCCTCAGCTTGGAGCAGTAGCTCCAGATTCACAAGGCAGCCCAAAGGTTCAGAAACCTGCCCAGTTAGAGCCAGAGCATGAGGATGTCTAGCAAGTGACGTCTGCTATGCCCTTGCAGCACTTCAGCCTCCTAGTCTGTCTCCCAAGCCAGCAGAACTGGTAGAAGAGCTTTTGCTCATGGGTTGTACTTGGCTTTAGCTTTGGTTGCTGCAATCCCTGCCTAGCTCAAAACCAAGCTAAGGGGAATTTTTATCTCATTTGCACAGCTTGGCTTAAGGAATTAGTGTTCACACTGTCACAGGATGCCCCTGCTGTCTTTGGGGCTTTTCTAAGTACTATGCCGGCCCTCCTTTCAAGGTCCCCCTATTTAATAAAGGCTGTCTGCCATGTCCTATTGGAAGTGTACCTTGAGATATTCATTCATAAACTGAGTAAACATAAACAAAGGTTGACAAAGGATGCATCCCAGTTACAGGCTGACTGAGAAGGCCAGCTTTGTGGACTTAAATTCACATTCATAACAAAGTAAATATTTATTTAAATATCCTTTTTTATAGAAGCCATGCATCTATTAAGAGGTAGGTGGAAAGCCTCACCACATCTTTTCCCATTTCAGGTCTCAGAATATCATACAACATCTACACATCAGGACAATGAACGTGTCCAACAACTGCAGTGTCTCAAATCTAGAACTGTATCACCAGGTTCGTCTCATTGAATTTGCTCTGTATAACGTTATTTTCTTTTTTGGAGCACTATTTAATTCCTTTGCCCTCTGGGTGTTCTTCTTCAAGATAAAGAAGTGGACAGAAACCAGGGTGTATGTAATCAATTTAGTCTTTGCAGACTGCTTCGTCATCTGCACCTTGCCTTTCATGGCTTATTTGCTCTGGAATAAGGCAACTCGAGATGAACTCTGCCAGTTTATAGAGACAATGTATTTTATCAACATGGTAGTGAGCATCTACATAATTTCATTTATCTCCATCGATCGATATATTGCCATAAAGCACCCCTTGAAAGCCAGCACCTTCAGATCTCCATCAAAGGCTGCTCTTCTCTGTGGGCTTCTGTGGGTCTCCGTGATAACTGGTGCCACCTTACAGCTCTGGCAGAGACACGCCACTTTCTGCTTTCAGAAGGATACCACCACACCTGCTGCTCTGAGCCTGCTTTCCATTTTCTTCGTTTTTACTCTTCCATTAGCAGTCTTGACTTTTTGCTCCACAGAAGTAATCAGGAACCTTAAGAGATGTCTGAACACAAATTCACCAGAGGAGAAATTAATTCAGAAAGCTATTCACATTATTTATGCGAACCTGATTGTATTTCTGATATGTTTTCTGCCAGCCTACCTTGGGATACTTGCCAGGTTCATAATGGAGAGAGTTGGAGCTACCTGTTTTCTGCTTCAGATTATGAAGAACTTCTCCATGACGAGGTGTATTGCCACATCCAACTGCTGCCTGGATAGCATCTGCTACTACTTTGTGACCAAGGAGTTCCATGAAGCTCTTCTACTGCTCAAACCCACCACTGAAAAAACAGATCAAATCCACCCCTTGCAGTCACAGACTTGCTAAGGGAAGGGGCAGGGCAGGCATGGAGGATGAAAAACAGCAAACCCCCAAAAGCCTACGATAACTCTGTAACATCGAGAGAGGATACAGCTTCAGCGTTATTGGGATAACTATTGCTCTTTCTCTGTAGGGAGAACTCTGTTAGGTTTAGCAATTCTAAGTTAATTGTGATTTATACTCTATGTTTCTGTTAAACAAATAAGTTATTTCACAGATATGTGTGAGTGTGTATGTAATCGTTGGTCATTAACATGTCTCCTTTCCACCCTCCAGCACCTACTTGTCACTCTTACAGGAAGACAGGTGACCCATGTATGTCTCCCTGTTTTAGTTAATTTTGCAGCTAAAGTAAATTGATTCTTATTGCCAACATATACAAAAGAATATATAATGTTCTACCTCATTGTGTATTTCAGGTTGTTTTCATTATTAAAATAATCCATTTCATTTTTATCATATTCCTTTGGCAGGTTGGGGGAGGTTCAGGAGGTACCAGCATATTACTACATACATGGTCCTACAACACAGCCTAGACTCTGCTGACTGCTCTTCCCCTTCGAGTCAATGAGTCAGACAGATGTGAAAGAACACTTTTAAGATAAAAGCAAGACTTGTTGAGTGCCATAAAGGCCTAAAGTCCAGGAGATTTCAGAGCTGAGTCCTCCTGCCAGCTCCCCTCCTGCTGCACTGCTGAGCCCTGGCTCAGAGCCACCTCCTTAGAGCAGCCATCCCAGGGGGCTGCTGCTTCCACCTGTGGGGAAGCCCTTTTAACTCTGTCTAGACCTCTGCCACCTGCGCATTGCTATTCCCTGGGTTTATGTTGCGGGACCCTCCTGGCCACAGCTCATGGTCAGAGTATCACCCCCCAGCTGAACCCCCACAGCTGGACACAGCTGGGTCTGGGTTTCTGCAGCCTACCCACATTGACACCCCTAATGTTTCCATGGGGGAAATGCATTTGTCCATGAGTCAGCAGCCTAGAAAAGTCAGGGGAGATGGGGAGTGGGTTGACCCCCTACATGTTATTCAGATGTTCCCTAGGACTGGGCTTTTTTCTTTCTAAATACTGAAAAATCCCCCAAATGGCCTCCAAGCTCCCCCCAGGCAATACTCAGAGCACTCCAGGAGACAGTGTGGAGGAGTCTTCCCTGCCCAATGATGCAATTTCCCCTGTGACCTTCATCTGCCTTCAGAGAGCCCATGGCTGCTGCTCAATCTGCTGTTGTCACCTTTGTGACCATGAGCTCGGGAAATATGAATTAATGGGACACATCCTGGGGAAGCCAGAGTCTGGTTCCCATCAGCTGGCTCACATAGACAGGACTGTAAGTGCTGCAGCCAACAGCCAGCAAAAGCCATCATAATGACTATAAAATACCACTGGGGCACATTCTTAAACATGTTTCTAGAGGTCCTGACAGCTATGGTGTGCTCACTGCCACACTGGTATCACTTGCCCACACCCGGTTGGCAGTGACTGCCATTACCAGCTTGGGCTTTCCAGTGATGCTGTTGAGCGGTGGAGGACTTGGCTGTTTGCAGAGGATGAGCAGGCCCAGAACATCTGCCACCTTTCTCGTAAAGACACCAAAGAGAAGCATCTGGGTCCCGTCATCACAGGGTGCACAAGTACTGATGTCCACCCTCGGAAAGGCCATCGGCCCCCACACTGCTGCCTGCGGCACGTTTTGCCACCGCACCGGAGGCTGCACGGGCTGCTATGCTCCCTGGGGGACCTTTTGCTGCCAGAAAGGCCATTTGCAACCATTATGGGTTTTATTTCAGAAGTTATTTGTTTTCCTATGACTGAAAATATTAAATTTTAATTGCTAGTTTGTGTGAGGTGAGTGGGGGGAGCTCAGATTGGGTGGAAAAAATGATGGTGAAGCATTGAGCTGATGTGAGTAGAACAATAGAGGGCACCAGAGACTCGACCGTCCCAAAAAGCAGGCGATAAATTAAGCACTTTTGGGGAACAAGAGTTCATTGCTGGGTTTCAGTGCTCCAGAGCTGTCGGCAGCAGGCTCCTGGGCAGCTGTGCCCTCACAGAGCAGCACCCGGCACTGGCATCCGCGGTCCTGACAGATCTCCTCTGCCAGGACATCTGTGTCTACACTGCAACCTTTCTGAGAACTAAGCCCACCTGACGGCCCCACAAGAAGCAGGTAATATCTTTTAATTCTTCCCACACCGGTGAGTGGCAGTGTGCTCTGCTCATTCCTTCAGGGTGTGCTTTCTCACCTCTCAGCTGAAGCGCTAGCCAGGGCTGCCAGCTTGTTAACAATCCTCAGCTGTACACAGACGCCTGTTTCCTCCTGCTTCCATCGCTGCTAAGCCTCACTGTTTTGTAGCCATATGTCATTCAGGGGGGTCTTCATCCCTCGCTGCGGTTTCACACCAGTGCTTCTTACCAGGCCTCTTCCATGAGCATGGAGACACCTGGCTCCAGGCACGCTGCGGCACGGGGCCTTGGGGACCACCACTGGCTCTGTGCTTACGCTGGGGATTCAATGGGGCTGGGGTGGCCAGCCCAGCCCGGAGGGCTCAGCTACTCCTTGGGGCAGTGCTACCTGTGCAGAGTGGTTTTTTCACTGCGGGATGACCATGATAGGCTGTCAGGGAATAGCTCCAGGGTAGGTGGTCCCACAGTGCAGCCAAGGACCTGTGAGGCTAAAAGCCCAAGAAAGCCAGGGCACCAGCTGTACGTTAGTTCCTCCATAAATTCCACCCTAAAAATGACTGTATCCTGGTGGTTCAGTAAAGCCATATCAGTTCTGGTGCTAGGGCAGGTGCTGCACTGTCCTCCATGGCTGCCAGATCCATCTCCCAGTCTCAGACACTAAAACCAGTTCATTTAGTTCATGCAATCAGACATTTTTACTACAGTTAAGATGTTAATGCTTAGAAGCTGCTGACTTATAAGGCAATGTATTTATAAGAGATTGTAGGAATCTGGGCGTTTTCCTGTCCTGCCTCACTGTAAACACTTCCTTTATGAGCTGCACACAGTCTGATTCATCCTCTGCAGCCTCCTTGCTTGCTGGGTAGCAGATGCCCAGAAATATTTAAAGGAATACCAGGAGATAGTCTAAGTTTTTGGGTTCGTGTTTCCTGCTCTAGCAACACTTGGGTTTCCTATCTCTGCAGGTTGAGATCAGACGTGTGCTCACTTTAGAGCTCTCTTTAGAGACCGGGGCTGGTGGTACCCATGCTGAGCTATTCCTCCCTGCAGTGAGAGGAGCAGGTTCATGGTGGGGGCAGCCTGCCCCCAGCAGGCATCCACCCGCCAGCCTACAGCAGTGTTCCCACCACCCTCAGGAGTAAAGCCATCTGAGCAACCCCATGGCTGGAAAGGCTCAAGTCCTTCACAGGTTCACAGGCCTGGCGAGACCCAGAGCAAACCCATGGGGTGGTTTCAGCAGCAAAGCAAAGGCCTTGGAGGGCAAAGAGGGAATGCTGCCCAGCTCTGCTTTGGGCTGCCCTATAGCCAGTGGCTCTCCGATAACCACAGCAGCAACAAAGATAAGGGACCACAAAAATTATCATTCTGCTTTGCGGACCCTTTGCTATCACCCAAACTGTGCAAAACAAGACTGGACAGAGGTCAAGACAGGCTTGTGGTTAGAGAGGGGCTGCGACCCTGTAACAGCTGCAGGAGAGGGTTGCCTCTGTGTTTTTGTGTTAGCTGGTGGCAAGTGACAGCGTTGCTTTGATAGCTGACAGATTGATTGTGCTGATGAGTGCTGAGCCCCTCCAGGAGCTGCCAACATATACAGTGCAGGGATGCAAGGGGGTGCAGAGCCATGAGAGCAGGGACACTGCAGCAGGACCTAGCCCAGAGGACCTGTCCCCAAGCTCGGTCTCATGCCTGCATCCTTTTCTTCCAGAGACGGCCCAGCATGGAGAACTGCACCAAAGATGACAACATGCTGCAGAATGGCATTGTGCTTTTTCAACTGATCATCTACATCCCAGTGCTCTTTTTGGGGATCCCACTGAACACAATTGCCTTCTGGGTCTTCTGCTGCAAACTCAAGAGGTGGACCGAGACCAGAGTGTACATGATCAACCTCATGGTCGCAGACAGTTTCCTGCTCTTTGCCCTGCCTTTCTTGATATATTTTACCAAGTATGACCATCCCATGGACAAGCTATGCTTTGCTGTACAGAACATCTATTTTACAAACATGCCTATGAGCATCCTTATCATCACCCTGATTGCAATTGATCGATACATTGCAATCAAGTTCCCTCTAAAAGCAAAGATTCTTCGATCACCACTGAAATCAGCTTCTATCTGTGGGTTTCTTTGGATAACGCTGATAATTTATTCCTACTTTCGTCCAAACTTTCATGCAAGAAAGGAAAAATATTGCCTTCAGAAACAATCTATTCAACCTAATTATTCAACATTATTCTCCATTATCTTTGGGTATTTTATTCCCTTAGGGACTGTGATTTTTTGCTCAGTACAAGTCATCAAATGTCTCAAGAAGAAGATGGTCACGAGCCCTCACGAGACAAAGTTAATCGGGAAAGCAATCCACATTGTTTCTGTGAATTTGTGTGTGTTTGTCGTATGTTTTTCACCTTTCTACATCACATTGCTCTTGCGGTTTGCAGTAGATGTTGTTGGAGCTTGTTCTCTGCTCTCAGAAGTTAGAGCCTCTATTCAGATCTGTGCGTGCTTAGCAAATTTTAACTGCTGTTTGGATGCATTTTGCTATTACTTTGCAGCCAAGGAATTTCAAGAATTTCCTTCTCTGTTCCCCATTTGTATATCAATGAGGTCCAAGATGAACCAAAGCCAAGAGTCACAGCCACCCACAGATCAAGTCATGACATAAAAAGGTGTAGTGCACGATAGGTGTGAAGAGCCACAGTGCTGCTGAAGTTTCAAGGCAGAGGGAATGGGACCATTTACTGTATTTGCAATCATTGCAGGTACAGGCATGCCTGCAAAAAGGGGCAACCTCCTCCAAAGGGTCTTGACTCCAGCTCTGACTATTGTCTTGGATTGTTGTATCACAGCTTCAGGTGTCTCCTGGTCAAGAGGAGAGCCACATAGTATGGAGAATAGATAAGGCCATTGCTTCTGCCATGCACTTATTTGTACATATCATGCAGCTAAACATAGGAAACCGAGCATCCATACAGCAATACACAAATCCACTTCTATATGGTCACTTAAACAAGAAAAAGCCCCTGTACTACAGTGCCAAACCTAATACATCTGTGCTGGTCACAGCAAAGAATTTGCCCATGCAGTGGTAGTTTCCTGCCAACCTATATAATTTCAAAGCTTGTAGCTATTGCTGGGATGCAGCTATTGCTGTGCATGGAGTAAACTGCAGTCAGACACTGGCATGAGACTATTGCCCCATTCCTGCCATGTAACACTTATATGAGCTTGTGGCAATGTCCCGGTATTTGTGAGAGTGAGATTAAAATAATTGTGGGTATAAATAAAGCCACTACTGCATGGAAAAACTGAGCTACACAAAGCATTGTGGACCACAGAACAGACCCTTAGCATTTTGTATATCAGGTATAAAGCTGTGAAGATCTGATCTCACCCAAGCAACTACCGTAAGCCCTGGTGATAGCTTTGTTGTTGTACTTTAATGGCTTCACATCTCCAGTGGGTGTCCTGTCTGGTGAGAGATGATCGCATTGGCCCAAGTTGTCACAGCCTCACGCTGCAGGAGTGTTGATGCCCAGAAAACAGCAGTGAGCAACACAAAACAGATGCAACCCTGATCCCTCACTCACCACCCATGAACAGTTTTCAGGGGAGGTTTGGCGAGTGTGGGGTGTGTAAGGACTTTTTGCCGAGACAGGACAGACCCACAGCTTAGGGCTTCTGGGGATTGCCCTGTGTGGTTAAGCATTGTTTTGGATTTGTGGTTTGTTTTGGTTTGTTTTTTTTTTTTCTTTCAGCTGCTTGGACAGTGCACAGTGGAGGTTCAACAGCTTTTCTACACCTCATTTTGAGACATTTAACTCTTTCCACGCATTATACAGGGAGCCTTGTTGGATTCTAGCTGGATCCTGGACCAGGCATCAGTTTCAATGTCTGGCTTTCCAGATACCACATTCCTCTATAGTATCTTTGCTTGCTGACCATACACCACATATCCTCCCACCCCAAAGAGAAGTAACAACAGAGCAGCTCAAAACAGTTAAGCCACAGAGGGATGTCTTGGGGCACCAGAAGGAAGCGACCCATAGAGAAACATGGGCTGAGAGGGGAGCCAGTGCCAGGGCATGACTACTTCATGTTTATCTGCATAGAAATTCCATCTAACTTTTTATCACATAGTCACTTCAATACTTAAAGACAGCGTGGGAAACATTATAGAGTTTTTGAAAAGCATGTGATAGCTGTATCTCAGTTGGCTTCATGGTCCTTCACTTTCAGTGTCTTCTGACTTGTAAACCTCTTAAAAATTCCTCCGTGGAATGCAAACTCATATTCTATTCATTTAAACCTACAGACAATTAACTTCCATAGTGACAACTTACAAATAATTCCCCTACAAGTGGCCTGTCACCTTCTAGTTTCTGCAGATCACATGCTGAAACCACTGTCTAGACATTGGCCAAACAACACAGGAAACTATTATTCCCATTGCAGCAAGTACTCTCCACCCAAACGTTAGATCTACCTGCTTTGTGTCAATACTTCGGCAGAGGTTCCAGCATGATGGAAGCTGCAGTGAGCAACTGCATTATAAAAATGGATGAAACTATTGAGGTCATTCAGTTGATCATTTATGTCCTAATTTTCTTCTTTGTTGTATTATTTATGCTCTGGCATTACTGGTATTTCACTGCAAGCAGAGCAAAAGGGCCACGTGCGTGTGTGACCAACTTAATCATTGCACGCTGTTGTTTGGCCCTCATTCTGCCTTTTAAAGTCTATTTTCAAAAACAGGAAAAGATAAGAGAGACAAATAGTGCCTGATCTTAAAAACCATCTATTACTTAAGAAGATGCATGATTGTTGTCACCCTTGTAGCTGTCAACAAATACGCTGCAATTAACTATCCTAATGTCCCTGTTAGCCCATTCTCCTTTATGGTGTGCTGTCAATCTTCATGACAGGCATCACTTGTGTGTCCAGGCAAGTAGTGTTCAGCAAGGAAAAATAATTCTGTTTTCAGAAACAGTGCAGAGGGCCTTCAAAAACACTTTTGGCTGTGGGATCCCCTTCTGGGATTTTGCATCTCATTGGTTATAATGAATGCCTGTTTCAAACAGATTAGTATGAAAATTTTTATTATTTTGAAAAAAGTCAAAGTTTGATTCATATCTACCTGTTATCATACTGTTGATCCAGAAAGAAAATAACTTTTTTTTAAATGAACCCAGCCATGTTCATGTTTTCTCCCTGTTAATATGAAGCACCTTGTCCAATCTACAACAGGCTCCAATTAGGTCATCTACCCTGAAATACAAAACAGTAATGCTTTTGTGCATGTGGCCTCCTAGTATAGCAAATATTAACTGCTGTTGAGATGCCATTTACTACTGTTTCATAACTAAGGGATTTCAGAAACACTTTCTTCTTACCTAAGCCTATAGGAAGGATCCAAGGAAGGATCCCAGACAAGGCAAAACTATTAAACTAAAGAGCTGCCATGGTTTCACAACAGCTAAGCACCACACAGTTGCTTACTCACTCCCTGCCACTGCCCAAACCAGTACAACAGCTGTGCTAAAAAAATGTATAGTTGGCATTCCTATACATAGCCAAGTTTACTGCATATAGAGCTGTATGAAATGAATGGTTTTTTCTTGTAGGAAGCAAATTGAGGTCTCCCACCGTTCATGTTCTAAAACAAGTGTTCCTTTTTTTAATGGTAAAGTAAAAATTTGTTGACTTCACAATCCCTGTCATCATTAAGTAATATTTTTGTTGTTTGCACTGAACGCTATAAAAACAAAAAAGGAAACAAGTCTTTTGCAAGTGAAAATAAAGCTATTTCATAGTAATATATCTATGAATAAATATTCATTTATTACCATTATACATCAGAGTCCTCTATTATCAACACTAAACCTGTACTGGAGATTGTGAGAGGAAAATTAGCTACCATGGCATAAGACCTGCCTTACAACAGGATATTTATAGTGCAACCCAAAGGCAAGCTATGAAATTTCTCATTACCTGAAGATGTATGTACTACCTTGGACAAAAAATATCATCTGGTTTATGTGTCAAGTTATATGTTTATGATGGGTCTCTGACACCTTTCTTCAGTCTGAACAAAACCTCACCTCCCTGAGTGCTCCCAATAAATGAAACAGGTAAGGTATCAGTACCTGGGCCACAACAAACTGCCAGCCACCGTACAGCACAGGAATAGCAATCCATGAGGGCAGCAACATGGTTATCCACAAATCTTTCCCATTTCCTAGCACAAGAGTCTGGCTAATGATAGCAGGGAGCAGCAGCCACAGTCCATGAGCAGCTCCAACAAGCAGGGCTGGACCACTGCATTCTGTTAACATTTCAGTAAGATATAATCTCTTTGTACCTTAAAAGAAAAGCATACTAATAATGGCTTAAACTTTAAATGAGCAAATTCATGCTACAGTCAAAACTTAGGCTTGAGAAAACAAGAAAAAGGGAAAAAAACCTGCAAGGAAAGGCCTACAAAGTAATCCAGAATCTAGCTAGTAAGTGACTAGGCATCGGTTTTGGCATTTTTGGTCCTTCTTAGCAGGGAAGGCAGGGGTTGGCATTTGGGCAGGCCTGAAATTCTCACCAGGGGTCAGGACTCTAGCAGCACTCCTCTCCTGGCGGCTGAGGGACACACATCAGGGAGTTCTGCATTTTAGTGAGTTGGTGCTGCTGCCAGGTTTTGGCAGCATCTCTGCGTTGTTGGTTTCTCAGTGCAGCGGCATTGTTCCAATGGTGAGCATTGCCTGGCAGTCTCCAGGGAACTCTGCAAGCACCAAAGCAGCAGCAGCCAGCTGGGAAGCACAGGCTTTGCCATGCCCTCCCCGGTACGCTGGCACAGAGACACATGGCCAATCCCTTCAGTGTTGATGCTGCGGGAGTACGGAGAGGGCTATAGTACAGAGAGCCCTGGCAGTGCATTATCTGCCACGGCTCAGTTCATCTGTGGTGCTAAGGAAGGGGAAAAGGGAAACCGTCTCAGCCCTCAGGATTGGTCATTGTGTGAGGTTGATGTGGTTAGCCTAACTGCCATTTCACAGGCCTTCCATGCTAAAAATAAGCCTGACACATTCTGCTCCCAACCCTGTAGTTCTGTTTTGGTCAAGATCTGCTGTTGCAACACCACGTCTTCCCGTGAGAAAGCCAGGAAAAAAGCCACGTAGGGCAGAGGCACTGCAGAACCCAAACGCTGCAGGGTAGTGCAGTGTCACGTGTCCCCCTCGCACACATGGAGGGGGTACTGGTACCTCTGTCACCTAGCCAGAGGTCCTCTCCCACTGTGATGTGCCAGCAGCTGCAGCCAGCAGGGCACATTCTCTGGGAGGTAGAGACCACCGATATCTTCCCCAGCAGGGAAAGGAGGCAGGAGCCCATCAAACCCGAGCTGTTCTATTAGCAATCTGTACCATGAGGACAGGAAAACCTCACAAGAAGGGCTTTCTTTGGCTGGGAAACAATCTCAAGACAGAGCTTACAAGGGAAGGAAAAATGATTGTGTAGAACAGAAATAAGTCTTAGAAATCAAGAAGCATAAAGGTCTAATGTGTCTTAGCAAATTCTTCTCTTAGATATGAAAAGTTACCTATGTACACAAATTACAAGCAGTGAGATCACCCAGTACTGCTGCTGATAAAAACAACAAAATTGTCCAGGTATGTCCTGAAAACTACCTGATTACTTTGTCACAGCTTTCAGTAAGGATGAGGAACCCAAGAAGTCCAGAATTTTAAAGGAATTGACACATGAAATCTCACATCAGCAACAAGGCTTTTAAATAAGTCAGTCAAAATAGGATCAGGGGCAGAGACCACCAAGCAGAGTTCCTTCTCTAGGGTGAGGGAAGAAAGGGAAGGGTCTGGCCAGTAACACCTCCAATATGCTCAGACCTGAAAAATGTGCAGTTTCACAATGCATCTGAATAACATTAAAGGGGAGAGAACAAATAGAAAGGAGAAAGTTAAGTGGTGCTTCACCTTACAGGAGTATTTTGCTTCACTGGCCTCTTTCACTAAAAAAATCACTTTTCCAGCCCAGGTGTGGTAGACACTGGTGTCCGTAAAAGGTCCTTTGGAGTACATTGCGAGCAGTAACACCCTTTGTACAGGCACTGGTACTCAGTGGTGCTGTAGGGGCCCAGACTACCCCAACAAAAAGCCACCAGCAAGGAAGTGAGAAAACAGCATGAGTGTCACCTGCACTGTGCCACATGGTGACAGCACTCACGGGGCTGAGACAGACTGAAAACTGCAGAGGCAGGGGAAAATACCTAGTGAGCATCATTGGTCCATGGCAGAGGTAATAAAACCTTTGAATGGATGGAAGAAGAGGGCCATAAGCAGCTGCAAGAGCCTAGAGGGTGGCCAAGGTGAAGAGAAGTGAAGCATGAACATCCTGACCCGGTGGTGTCTAGGAATCAGACAGGGAGCTGAGAGCCACATCAGGAGACATGTAAGTTGTCCACAGATAATACTTCATTGTAGCTTTGCCTACTGGTAGCTGGTATTCAGTTGCTCTGACATATCCTAGTGAATCTGCTGATCATAGCTGGCTGCTTTGTGCCTGGTGACAGGGTTTGTCCCTCCTTTGAAGCTTCAATAGGCTGATGGGATGTGTAGCTGCCCTTGTCCGGCCACCACAGCACCAAGCTGTGGATAGGAAGCATCACACTGGAGAGATGCTAAGAGCTTAGCTCCCTCCAGGCTTGATTTTGACTGCTCATGGTCAATGCAAGGTAGTGATTGCCTTGACATAGACAATAGGAGTGTGTGGACAACACTTGATGATGATGCAAAGTGAAGTATTTTCTGTACAGTGGTGAAACTATCACAACTCAGGAGCTGAATGACTTTGAAAACTAAAGTACTAACAAGGACCATGACATGAAAATGACGGTGGTTGGCGATCAATGAGCTGGATGTACTAATAAGTCAGTAACTACTTAACAAACATCCACCAAGAAGTAGCCACAAGAAAGGCAAAAGCAGTCCCTGGAAACACAGGGGAAGTCTTAAAGACTTAAAACTAAGCTCTGTCCTTAAGCAAGGAATTAATCTCAAAGGCTGGTTTGCAGTGCATAGACAGACAATGCAGAAATACTCCTGAAGCTGCTCTAAGATGACCTGGAAGCAGGAAGGGGAAATGTGTTTGCCCAAGACAGTAATTCAAGGTACTATCAGCAGGACCTTTGAGCTTGTGGACCACCTTGTCTGAGCTCTCTTGTTAATGGGTTGCAATGGACAGCCAAGGAGAAGCCCCTAGCCAACAGGCACCTGCAACCACAGAGCAGTCACAAAGTCAGCAGGTCACAGGGTCACAGTGCCACATTTTCTCAGAATTGCTGGCTGATGAGAAGTATGGAAGACGAGAGAATTACCATGATTCAGAGTGAAACCCAGTTAAAATAATCACAAAATTCTCTGCAAGCCACAGCCCTCACCTCTCCAACAGCTCTGTGAATGGGACTAGGGGTCTGTCCAGGCTGCTCTGTCCTGGGGCCAGCAGGTCACAGGGTCACAGTGCCACATTTTCTCAGAATTGCTGGCTGATGAGAAGTATGGAAGACGAGAGAATTACCATGATTCAGAGTGAAACCCAGTTAAAATAATCACAAAATTCTCTGCAAGCCACAGCCCTCACCTCTCCAACAGCTCTGTGAATGGGACTAGGGGTCTGTCCAGGCTGCTCTGTCCTGGGGCTCAGCAGTGTGCCAGCCAGTGGCACTCCCTGCTCCAGCACGAGCAGCAGCCTAGAAGGCAGAGAGACCACCTCAGGACCCTCCAAGGCAATGGGTCCCCTCCAAGCCTGTTGGGTTGAAGGGCCAATGGGCATCGCCCATTGAGACATCAGGCACTGGAAAGTAAATCAAAGGAAAAACCCAAAGTCATTCCGTCGCCAGAGGAACTGCTGCAGGGCCACATGCAGATGGCGTTTCACCTCCCTGCGGGGTTATTGGAGGATCCTCAGTCAACAGGGGGTGGTACGAGCCACGCCAGTGGTGACAGAGGAAGCTCAACCCCGGGGAAATGCGTTGGGGAGGGGTGGGGGTGCTTCCTCCACCAGCATTGCCACAGCCACTGGCAAATGGTCATCACAGGACACCTCGCTGGTCACATGCCAGGAGCCACGCTAGGAGGGATCATCGTGCCTGCATGCCACACCACAGCTGGTCTGGAGGAGCATTCACTACCTTCAAGGACAGCGAGTGAGCAGGTAATTCCTCCTGGCTGTTTGCTGACCTGGTTATTTGATCTCTGCAAGGCATTGCCTTTCCCCAGCCACAGTGGGACACCAAAATGGCTGTGAAGAAACAGAAAGGGATGGAGTCTGTGTATTTTCAAAGGCTGATTTTGATACTGGCCACGTTAGGCATGTTTTGGATGCTTAAGAGCAGTCTCAGACTTTGCCCGATTTCCCCATTGTCTCTTATGATCTACCTTTATTTCTTCTGGGCTCATAACTCATCCCTTGTGTCAAAAGCACAGAATTGCTGCAGGTATCGGCTGCAGCACATTCTCTCACCTCTGAAGAGGTCTCCCAGTATGATTCCTCAGTAGCATGATTTTCAAAGCTAGCCAAGAGCTGCAGCTCCATATAGATGGTGTAGATGTGGTCTGCTTGCTCGCAATGCTTTTGAGCCCCAAGAATATGTACCTGTGGAGCCATGTTCCCCTTGCACAGAGAACCCAAAGACATCTCAGACCTCCCAGGTCTTTCCTGCCCATGAACAGTTGCACCTAGAAGATACTCCTGTATTAACTCCTCCAAAGAAGGTGGGCAAACAGAATATCGCCCTTAGATCTGGGGTGATAAAACTGCCCACTAGATGAGATACAGCTCGTGTCTCTATTTCATGTGGCTGCTGATGACTTTGCTTGCCATGACATTGGTGGGGTATTTTTGTCTTGGGATGTGGCAGATCACACTAATGCTTCTGAGATGGAGACCAATTTTCACAATCCTTGAAAGGCAGCATGTAGACCCAGGACTCTGATGCTTGCTGCAGACTACTAAATGCTACCACTGAGCATATGATTCAGTGGCAGCCAAAAATAATGAGATATGTACTAATCATTGAGATACATACTAACACTAATGAGAAGTGATGCAGAGACAGCTCAAGACTGAAGGAAAGGACAGCTGTTCTTTAGTAGCACATCTGCTGGAGCATTTTGAGCTCTGAGGATGCTGGCTGGCTTCTCCTAAGCACCTCTAAGAAGATGGATGAGATCTGGGTTTAGGCACCCCCTTTCCATTTCCAAATGGGTTGTAACAGCTCACATATTTCCTAGTTGCAGGATATATATCAGCTGCTTCTGCCTGATATGTGCCTGGCCCAAAACAGAGGCCCAAGCATTTTCCCCAGCTGCCCTCTGCAAGCAGTCTTTCTCACATAGGACCCAGCGAGGATCTGTGCTTTTCTCTCCTCCAGAACTGATCAGGCTTGTGTCTCTCTCCCTCCCTTCCCACTAGGTACTCCACAGACAGCTCTGCTCTGCAGAGTCATCTCCACGATCTGGTTTTCACTGTTGGTAAAGCCCTGAACTATCTGAATTAATCACCGATTCAGTCAAGAGTATAGATTCTAAAAGGTTTAATCTGCTTTTGCAGGAACTGTGCCTCTTAATACCCCCAGAATGACCCTCAGCAGCTGCAGTATCACAGCCTATGAAAGCTTTCCACTTGTCCAGCTGTGTATTTACATCCCAGTTTTGCTCTTGGGCATTTTGCTGAACGTGTTGGCACTGTGGGTGTTCTGCTGGAAACTGAGCAAATGGACAGAAACCAGAGTATACATGGTCAACTTGGCTGTGGCTGACTGCTTGCTGCTTTTTACTTTGCCTTTTAAAACTTTATCCCAGTTCCATCAGCTGAAGGTAGGTAGGTGGTGCCTGGTTCTGGAAGGTGGCTATTTCATAAACCGCTTAATGAGCATTGGTATCATCACTGTCATAGCAGCTGACAGGTACCTTGCAATCAAGTACCCTTTGAAAGCCAAGGTGCTGAGGTCGCCGCTGAAGGCAGCTTTTGCTTCTGGATTTCTTTGGATAGTCATCATCTGTGTGATGTCCCTAATTAAAAAGTTAGAGGACCGAGAACAAGATGAACTTTGCTTTGAAAAATCTTCTGTTAAGCCCTCAGTCATCACGCTGAGTGCTATTATTGTTGGATTCTTCATACCACTGATCATTGTGAGTTATTGCTCCATACAAGTCATTGCAGAGCTCAGGAGAAAGAAGAATGAAGACTGTCACAAGGAAAAGTTAATCAGGAAGGCTGTCTACATTGTGTCTGCAAACATGGCTGTGTTCACGATATGCTTTTTACCTCTTTACCTCGGGCATCTCCTTCGCTTTATAATGGACTCCATCAGCTCCAACTGCTCTGCAATACAGGGAGTTAACAATTTTGTTCACCTTGCCTCAGTCCTCGCAAACACAAACTGCTGCCTGGATGCTATTTGTTACTACTTTGTCAACAAGGAATTTAAGGAAGCATCTCCTAAGCTAGCAAAGTCCAAATTCAAAGATAGCAAAGAAGCTGAAATTCAGCTCCCATGCATAACACATTAGTGCAAAACACATGCTGCACACATCTTATACTTGCTCTGTTCAAGTTCAACTGGGACTCAATAGCAGGCTTTCACACTTTTGTGCGTGTGTGTAAGTGGGACAGAGAGACTTTCTGCTAATTGGAAAGATTCAGACAACCACAGCAGTCCAGATCCTGATGTAATGATCTAGGTTGCCACTGATAATTCTCTGCCTTATGCAAATTTGAGTAAAATTATAGCTTACCCCTGCAAAAACTCTTTCATTTTCCCAGAAAACCCAAAACAAGTACAGCCAGTGGTAAAGGGGATTTTTGTCTCTCCTCCCCACCTTGGATCAGTTTTTATGCAGCTGTAGCTGTGACAAAGAAACAGAGGTTATTCCAAATAATAAAAAAGGAAAAAGTCATAGTGAAACCGCTGCAGAAAAAGAAAGAAGAATGTTTTTATAAGTCACAAATGCCTCATTTTTTTAGTTGGTAATAAAGCACAATCACAGTTGCGGAGGCAGATTCAGCCTGCTTTAGACAAGGTTACAGCACCATTCATACTACATAACACCTGCAAAACGGTCACCAATTGTAATACAAGGCCAGAAGAAATTCCAATTGCTCATACTGGGGAAAAAACTTTCTAGCAAAAGCATTTGAGACAAATGGCATTAAAGCTGCTATCCAAAGAGTTGGGGTGGGGTGGTGAGAATAAGGACTCTGTATTAGGGGTCTATTCAACCCTGTAATGTAAAGGACTGTCTAAAGTGGCAGCGAGTTGTTCCAAAGTACCGATATAAATAAAGTTGTGTTACTGGCACAGGGTGTAGTCTCTTAATGAGTTAAATGGAAAAGGTGGATGATCAGGTGGTATGTGATCTGCTCTACTGTCTGTCCCCAAAAGGAACAGCTCATCTCTCTGGCTGTCTCCATGCTGGGTGAGGGGGTAGGAGCTGCAAACAGATACTGGGATTTTCAAAGGCAGAACAGTGCACGTCACCTTGCGATGCACTTAGCCACAAACAGCTAAGTAGGTAAAACTGCTAACTAGCCCCTTTATAACAATGCTCAGACAGCACCCATGTACTAGGCACATACCTCCGCTCATGTTTCTGGACCCCAGGCTGGGCCTTCACCTGTCTGCATGTGCTGGGTCAAACCCTGCTGCCACCTCAGTGGCCTTACAGCCCTACATCCAGCTCAGCCTTTGCATCTCCTCCTGCTCAAGGCACATACAAAAGGGAAGAAACACCTTAAAGAAGACCTTGCTGCAGGCAACTGTTGAGCAGAGCCCTCCATCCACCTGCCCAGCAAAGCCCATGTCACCTGCAGGGGACAGTAGCAGAGGCCTGACAACTTCTCAAGGTGATGTAGGTTTCTCACTGTGCTTGCCAGAGATTCAGGCAGAAATGGGGCATCTGCTCTGTCATCATCAAAAGCTGAGAGCAGGATCTGTCCTTTGTTCACTGCACAATGGGGAGGGGAGTAGGAGAGGCTCTGGTAGCAAAGACGACCTTTTAAGGAGGTTGGTTTCTTCTCTCTTCTACCCCTACATTTTATTTGAAAAGATCAAAGCAGCAGCAAGTGGTGCTGGAGATGGGTATCTCCTCCTGGCTCAGCTCAAGGTGCAGTAGGGCTCTAGCAGTGATTTCACACTGCTCAGCCCAGCACAGTAGGGCTCACACTTCGCAGTCCCCAGCCCTGTGTGCTGATGAGCCTCCTGGATCACTGTAGTAACGTGTGTACCTTTGTGACTTTAATTTATTGACTTCTCCCAAATAAGGCTAAACATCCTTTTAAGATTTCCTACCCTGTATGGGATTTGCGTGCTAAGACCACAGTGATTTGAGAGATTACCTGATTGCTGGTGTGTTTTTTCTACACCTCCAGTCTCACCAACATGGGTGTGAGCTCTTCAGAGGCGAAAGCTCTGCACAAACCAAACTGCTATTTTAGATGCGCAGGAAAAGATACTTCTCCTCTGGTAACTGCTAATTAAATGGGTGGAGGAGATACAAAGCTGCCTACAAACAAAGCATCTCTGAGCAGATTCCGATAAACTGTCTTGCTCCAAGTAACACCCCTTCCTCTAGCTGCTGTTCGCCCATAAATACGTACCATGAACGCTTGGTCAAAGACAGTCAAGCTTCCTCACCACAGAAACACCACACCAAAGCCTCTGTAGACTAGTGAGTCCTCAGGTGCCTACTGGAGTTTGGAGAGGGAGGCAGCCTCTGAGGCGCTGCGGAAGAAAGAGTCGCGTTGTACCAGAGCAGGATGGTGCTGAAGAAGGAGTGCAGGGATGGTCCTCACTGCCACAGCCAGCCCCTGTAGCAGTTCTGAGCAGGACCATGGCCACTCCTAATGACTGCCCAGGAGCAGCTGGTTAATGAGGTCAAAGAGGCAGGAAAGCATGTTTCACTCTCAGAAAAGAGGTGTGATAAACTATCCCTTTGACATAGGACCAAAACCTCTGTTCTTCACCATCTGAGCAGGGTCTATCCAAGTACAGGGCAGTCAGGCATTCAAATATGCTGGGGTTGAAATATGTGGCACAACAACGAAAAAACCCCTCAGTCTCCCCAGTTAGAAAATCAGATTATGCTGTTCTGTTTACTCAGGTTTTTTTTTTTCACCTTGGAGCTTTTGTGCTGATTTAGTAGGATTGTCCTCTAAATTCATAACCCATCTGGCCAAACTCTCCTACGCCATACAGAGAAAAGCCAAGGGATGAATTAAGCAGTGAGGAGGCAGCAGCAATCTACAGTAGCAAACATTCCTGGTGGGCTCAGCAGCCTCCAGGAGAAGGGGGACTGCCCACAAGATACCGATTATTCCATCTGGAACACAGACAGACCATAACTATCCAGGTGGACCTGGCTTGCTTTTATCTTTCTTCAAGATACCTTAGCTATCTCATCTCATCCCATCCACCGAGCTTATGAATATGTGCAACTTCACCTTAGCATAGCACAAACTCTGTCTTTCAGACTTCTCGGATTTCTCTGGAGCCAAGTCTGGACAACGTCAACCTCCTACTTTCCAAGTGATGAGGGTACAGGTGTGAGGAGGGCTGGAACCTACACCTCACAGGCAGGCCAAGGCAGGTATCTCCCACCATGCATGACTGCATCCTGCCCTCATCAAGCCACACAGCCCTCCCAGCAGCTGCAGGAACAAACATCTTACACTGGTATCTCCTACATTATATTAATTCTAATTCTATGAACTGATGACAGAGCTGGACACAGCCAGTTTGATACCCTTCACAAGCACTGAATGGACTTGTTACCAGAAACAGATGACTTGAAAGCACGAGTGGAGCTGCTGCAGCACACTGGAGCTGGCTGCACAGCGAGGACACACACACATGGTGTAGGAACACATCCAGACCTCCTAACTTTCAGGTTTTTGCTCACACAGGTCTGGTAACATCTCACACCAGTTTTCTTGCTTGGGGCTTTCCATCTGCTGTTGCTGTCACATTTTAACTGAACTCTGCTGCCAAATACTGAACCAGGGCAGCTGACTAAAAAATGAGAGTTCAGCTGAATGTCAGGTGTGGGGGGAAAGTGTGAAAGCTGTCACCAATAAACGGTGACATACTTCAAAGATGGTTTCATCAAAGACAAAAAAAGAGAGCACTTCTGGGGAAGTGAAAATCAGGGCGAGTTATTATCATTAGCTTGAGTCAGAAGCATTCCTATGTCTCTCAGCTTCTGAATGAAGGCTCAGAAACATCACTGAGTCACTCCAACGGGATGAGCTGTCCTGTATGGTCACTGCATGCACCAGCTGGGGACAGAGTCTAACACTATGCACTCCTCATCCTCAAAGGTGCTAAAAGACTGCAGCATCTGCAACCCTGTCCATCAGAAACCCCATCAGCAGTCTGCCAGCAGCTTTGCTAACTTAAAAATTCTGGTTTCTCTTCTGTTCGCCAACATTTTTCTACCAAGATGAACAATTCATACTTCTGCCTTTCTGTCCCTTGGCTTTCAAGCCAGGCTCCCTGCTTTGGTTCAGTAAAAAACTGGCACAGCTATTTCAAGCCTGACTTTTATCAGCCTCAAAATTGCAACAGCAAGACTGTCTCCTGCCCTCGGTGGGTGCCACAACAGTCCCTTGTTTAACCCTTGTCCTAGGTTGCTGTATAAAAATGGGCTCCAGAAACATCACGTTTCCACCAAAAGTCACATTGCACTGACCAGAGACCGAAGGACCAGCTTTTCTCAGTGCCCCAGAGAGCCTCTGCATCATGACTCCACCACAAAGATGGCACATTTCAGAAAGGTAGGACACATTATGCACACCCCACGTGAGTCACACAGCTCCTCTGCATTGCTGCAGCTATTTCACGATCTGCTTAACATATTTACACTTCTGCTTGTCACAAAGGTTATTTAATAACTTCTGAGAAGAGCCCCAGGTGGTGGAAGGAAGGGGACTACATAATTTAATCTGGTTTCACAGCAGAGAGGTGACAATGGACAATTGCTCACCAGCCACTGCAGGCAGGGCACTGCAGGCAAAAGGAAGTCAAGAGTGATCTTGGGGCAGGAAGGAAAAGATTCTTGTTTAAGCTATAATTTCACAGCAAATTAGATCTTTTACTGCTGCTCATTTATGTTCCTTGCTATTATTCTGGTGAATGGAAGAATGTGGCTGATGTTTAATACCTTTCTACTCTCCCAATGGCAACTGAGTAATCATGAAAAGTTAAGCCCTTTATTTTATCACTTCAAGGATGCTCCCTTTCACATTCTGGGCACCGACCACATCAGACTTGCATGGCATTTAACTTGTCCTTAGGGGCTGGCTCCCAGTCCCCAGTCACCCGCAGTGCCACCCTGCACCCAGGGGCCAGGGTAGCAGTATGAGCTCTGTGCCTGGGAGGAGCGCACCCCTCAGCTGTGGCACTTCACCATCATGGGGATCTTTGCTCTCTGCCACTTTGGTGACACATTTTTATCTCAGGTGACACGGCTATATCCATAGTGCTTTAGCAATTTTAGAGAGACTGTGGGTTTTG